ATAGACCTTGTCACGGTTTTCGACGCCATCTTGACGAGTAGGCAAACGCGTGAGAAATTACAGTGTTTGTATGAGAATCTAACGTCGGATAATTTCCGTAAAACGGCTGTTCTGAAAAAAATATCAATTGTAAACTAAAGCTACGATGCAAAGGATTGTCCTAAAAAATTTGGGGGGCGTACCTGTACTTAAATTTCTCCAGAGGCTTGCTTTAGATTTTCCATATATTTGTCTGTAATTTTCCCGGGACTTTCGTACAGACAAATGTATAGAAAATTTAAAGAAGTGGTTTTAGGTCTTCAAGTGCATGTAACGCCCTCAAATTTTTCCCGGTGAATCCTTAGGAGTGAAGCTTTAGTTTACAAGTCATATTTTTTTCAGAACAGCCGTTCTACGGAAATTATTCGACATTAGATTCTCATACAATCACTGTAATTTCTCACGCGTTTGCCTACTCGTCAAGATGGCGTCGAAAACCGTGACAAGGTCTATTGCGAAAAAAGGACGCTTTCTGTGCAATAAATTTAGTCAACACGTGCCATATATTTTGATTTTTAACTATAATTTGATTTAACTTTTGAAACAATTTCCTGTTGTAGTTTTAAACTTTCTTCCGATCAAGCTGAAGCAATTCCCTTTCGTGTAACACGCGACTCATTTATCTTAATGCCAGGTCACTTTTGTTTCCTTTAGCGCTAACATAAATAAATGGGTTTAGTTCTCGGGTTACACTACAATCAGCAAAGGTCAGACTTCCTGAATCTCTTCATGCCTTTACTGAGGTGTTAAAAGCATTTTAAAAAGCTCTCACTCAGTAAATGGGAAGTTGTGAGCCTGCAAAGAGACGTTCAACATGAAATCGCCGACAGAAAACACGCACACAAATGGAAGAAAAATACTCATTGGGTTGTGTTCCACCTCCTGCTTCCTACTGTCTGTCGTTTGCTGTATCGCACTGTTTCACGTGGAATTCAGAATACACGAGCATCATCGACTCATATCACAGTTAGTAACATTCCGTCAAGAGATTCAAAGAGAAATCGCTAAAGTTCAACAGGATTGTAAAAAAGGGAGAGTAACCAAAAGCAACCATCCCGACATTTGGCAAAATACAAAAGGTGGGTGAAAACGAACAGAAAGTGGAGATATATCACTTTTTGCCAAACCGAGGATAATCCTTTCACGTGGTATAGTGGTTTAGTTGGAATCAACTACAGAATACAGGGCCACATTTTAAGTTTTAAAGAACACGGAAAGGGAGATATTTTAGTGGCTCGGTGGCTCGTCATTCGAGGTTAGCAACTTAAAGAACGAGAGAGGTATATTTTAGTGGCTCGCAGACTCCGTCCCAACGAATATAACTAGAAAATTGGCCCTCTATTTTGTAGTTATGCTAAATGTTCTTAACCTTATTTAGCTTTTCAAACAACCGTGGAAGCTTGTATGTAGTTCATATATTGAAGTATTAAAACATTACGCTCATTTTTCAAGGTCGCAAAGTTATATACAGAGAAAAACGTGATTCATCAGATGCCTCTCAAAACAAATCGGTTACAAAAGCCTCCGAAGTAAAAAAGCTGATCAAAAAAGAGCTTCGCCTGATGCAGAATAAAATCTGTGCCAAAGATGAAAAGCTCTGTCAACCAGGACCAAAAGGTAGCACAGGAAGACGGGGAAGACGAGGACCCCAAGGTATACCGGGCCCCAGAGGGAGATCCGGCCCAGCGGGGACTCCCGGTAAAAATGGACCAATAGGACCACAGGGACCAATGGGTATAAAGGGGGATCGCGGATTGCCAGGTCTGCCAGGACCTCCCGGCCCCAGAGGTCCGCCTGGTGAGAAAGGCGCACCGGGAAAATCCATCTCAGCTCCCTCCTTGTTACAGCCTCCTGTTGAAACGACAATCAATGCAAGTCTGACAGCCATCTTGAAATGTACAGCAGCTGGAAATCCTCCTCCCAAAGTCACATGGTTTAAGGTGAACTCAACACTTCCTGTCGGACGTCACGTTGTAGAGTCGAGTGGTGCTCTGATTCTTCAGGATGTTAGACCTGAAGACGAGGGCCAGTACACCTGCAAAGCTGAAAATTTGCTGGGAACCATCAACGCCAGCGCACGGCTAACAGTGCAGTGTAAGTTGCATTTCATTCTTCAAGATTTCAAGACGTTTTTTTATCTCTCCCTAATACATTTTCTGACATGTTGTGGGAGTATTCTAACGGACAGGTGTAAAGCAGGTAATATTCTGGGATCAGCGATGGCTATGGCTCAATTGATGGTTTTTTCGCCTCTTCGGTTCAAACTTCGACCACCTAAGGAACTGACTCCTATGGTTGGCTCAACTGTTCGCCTACCTTGTGTGGCCGAGAGTGACCTGAGACTTACCATAACTTGGACAAAGGATGGATCCATACTTCCTTTTGAATCAAGGATTCTTCAAAACAACACTCTAGTTCTTGGCAGCATCAAAATATCACATAAAGGATCTTACACCTGCAG